CCAGAAGCTGGAGGACATACTGTTATACTGCGCATTCCCTTCCTTTGGTAGTACAAGCTCGAATTGTCATGTGATGCGTTTGTGTGTTGCTGTTGATGGAACACTTTTGGACTTGAGGGGTATGCGGCCTGTTGGGAACTCATCCAAAGCTGAAGATTGAAGGTCATCGCTACAAGCTGGAGAGTCCTCGCAGCTGCAACACCCTACAAAATCTTTATAAAGATTTTCAAAGCCTAAACCCTCAAGACGACGATTCCCGGAACGTTGACGTCGTTTGAAGCCGTAAGGTCGAGTTTAGGGTTTAGGGTTCAAGAACTCGTCAACGTTAAAGGCATACAGCCTACACAGGACCAAGCCGTTTGCACATGGTCGCCCAAAGCTTGGCCCCAAAAACCTAAAACCCTTAAACAAGCAAGCCTTAAACCCTAAACCCAAAATCCTATATAACCCTAAACCTCAAACCCCAAGCAACTCCTTTCAGGTGCAGGTTCTTTGCTGGGCGCGCCTTAGCTGCTTTGGGAACTCTTTCATGCAGCTGCTTGGGGCTTAGGCTTATTAGGGTTTAGGGTTTTAGGGTTTTAGGGTTTAGGGTTTTAGGGTTTAGGCTTTGGGGTTTTGGGGCTACTAGGGTTTTAGGGTTTAGGGTTGCTAGGGTTTAGGGTTTAGGGTTGCTAGGGTTTAGGGTTTTAGGGCTTTGGTTGCTAACTAGTTTTAGATGTTTAGGGTTTTGGGTTTTGGTTTGGGCTTTGGGGTATACATGCCCGAGATCGCCGGGCCTTCATGATTCAGATTGTGGGCTGATGTTCTAGGGTTGAGGGTTGAGGGCTTCGTGAGTCTTTCGTCTAGGACATTTTCAGGTGGGTAGTTGCAGTATGGCAGGTCTATATACCTCATGGCAGCCTTATAGAAGCCTTATATACCCTAAACTCCCCACCTGTAGTTTCCTTTAACTTGGGGTGCAGACCCTTCTAATGGAGGTTTATCCTGAATTCGGGAACGCTTGTCAAATATGCAGGGCGTGGGAGGACTTACGGCTAGAACAATCACAATAAGACTAAGAGTCATACCAGCAATATTATCATGATAGTTTCATAGAAATAGCGGTGATAGCACAGGTGATACGTCTCGCGTAAAAATGCAATAGCCGTACGAGTAGCAACAATAACCACAATCATAATGCCAACTGTACGAGCAAGAGCAGCAGCAGCAGCGGCGACGACGATAACTGCAGCAACAATAGCAACAGCAGCAGCTGCTGCAGGAACAGCCATTCAACCACAACATCAACAATAATGGCAGCAACAAAAACGCTACAATCCAAAGTGAGCACCAACAACAATAGCAATGGCAATTGCATCAGCAGCAGCATTTTCAACAGCATCAGCATTAATGACAGCAATAGCTATCGCGATAAACATGCTTTAAGTAATTGGCAGCAAAAATGAAGCGTGGTGGGAGTAGTCAGCATATCATTAACCAGTAACATAGCAGTCAACAGTAGTTTGAATAGCAGCAATATTGATGGTTGTAGCGATGATCACAACAGTAAGGACCTTCACAACAACAGCAACAACAGCCACAACAGCAGCAGCCATAGCCACCGCAATAGCAGCAGCAGCAGCAGCAACAACAGCAACAACATCAACAATTGTAATAATGACTGTGAGAACGATAGTACCTGCGACTACTATACAAGCAACATCATGGTGAATAAGACTGTTATTGCTGCTTTTGTTAGTTGTGATTGCTAGCTTTATCATAAGGCTTCTGAGTTTGATTGACGTTGTCGTAGTCTTTTGGAACTGAGAGCCTCAACGCTGCGAAGGAGCCACTTCTCCTGACAGCCCATTTGGCCTAAAGCCCTCATCAAGCCTGAGCCCTCTGAGCCCTACCTGCAGTCTCCATTCTAGTTCCTTTTCGGGGTTAGGGTTTAGGGTTTAGGATAGGTTCCTAAATCTAAAGATGGCTAAACAAAACGAGGAACTATGGTGGGTTCCTTGTTGGTGTTACTCTATAGACTCTATAGGTTCCTAAATCTGAAGATGGCTAAACAAAAGAGGAACTACTAGAGACTATAGGTAGGTTCCTTTTGGGAGATACTCTATAGGTTCCTCAATCTGAAGATGGCTAAACAAAAGAGGGACTACAATGGAGACTATCGGTAGGTTCCTTTTTGGTGTTCCTCTATAGGTTCCTAACTCTGAAGATGGCTAAGCAAACAGAGGAACTACGATGGAGACAACAGGTAGCCTAGCCCCAAGCCAAGTTCAGGAGGGACTATGTATGCCTGGCCCTTAGACCAGTGCTTTGGCATCTTTCATGAGAGTGTTCTGTCTGGCATTAGAATTTAAGATTGAAGCTTGTGTGTTTTAGGATTTACGTTTAAGGGTTAAGATGTATCGGGGTTTAGAGTTTAGAGTTAAGGGTTTACGATTACAGGCATATACGCACCCATATGAGAAAGGACTGCTGGCTGTGTTGCGGGGTTCGGGTGTTTGTTTGCGCTTCGGGGGTAGCGAAATGTGGCGATTTTCCGCCAAGGCCCCAAATGCCTGCCTTGTCAGCAGGATGCCCGGATAGTAGTTTCCGCAGTCCAAACCCTAAACCCGAATCTAACTGCACGGACAGCCGCTCTTTCCAGGGCTGAGCATGTTGATTGCTTCGTGGCTGGTGCCCGAAGTATGTGCCTTTTGGGGTAGGAACCTGATTAAGAAACCCTGGCCCTAAAACCCCAATATAATAGGATTCATATTGAGAAGCCCAAACAAAGGCCCAGGGTTTCGTAATCATGTTCCTACATTCCTGGCTGCAGCAGTAAGACACCCTAAACCCTAAACCGGTAAGACACACTTCTAGAGGCCGCACAGAGATGCGAATCTATATAGCCCACTGGGCCATGCAAAGCAAAAAAACCCTGCAAGAACCAGACACATTGCTGGGTCCTTGTTGGACACAATTTTACATTTTTGTTATAATAAAACCCAATAAGGATTAACAATGACCATTTTAAATATAGCCCCAACAGGGAACCAGATTGGAGGTCTAGGAAAACTACACAAAGTACCTGCCAAAAACTGGAGCGCCAGACCGAAAGGCCTCAACAAGCATCGCTCTGTTCGTTTGCCGTTGTTGTTTCCTGTGTGCTGCCTTGAAGCTTTTAGGGTTTAGGGTTTAGGGTTTAGGGTTTAGGGTCGGCCTTGGTGTTTCAGAAGTGCACGAGAACTGCCACGAATACTCGTTGATCAAGCACGTGATTATCGCAGACATGCTGTGATGCGTCCAAGTTTCCAACCCTATTGCTGGCAATTCCTTCGACTCTGCCTGGGACGACTTCGTGGATTTGTGGAATGTTTAGGGAGCGTCACCCGATCTGCTACAGATTCCTACCGGTTTTCCTCATTGACCCAACCCTGGTAGATGGTTTTCTTAGCGAGTTGCAGATCTCAAGTTTTATGGAACCTGTTTGGGCAAAACATGTATATGAGCCCCAGTTCGGGTTGTGGTATTGATGTCGACAGTTACTTGGTTCGATGCATTCGTGAGAAGGTCCGGACGAGCTGCAGACGCTTTGTTGTGATCACGGCGTGTTCAAGGACAGAATCTTGAATTACTATATGGGCCTAAATAATTACCAATACTCTCTTGGGGGGTTCCTTGGTATAAGTATAGTATAGTGGACACCAAATCCCTTTTTCAATTATTTCGGCCCCACATTGATTGGGCTTGAGAATGCTCAGGGATCTACGGAGGGTGTTGGCATGTTCGGTATCAAGGTCGGAACCCTGAAGACCCAGATCCGGTGGTTGTCCAAATTAGGTGGTCGTTTTTGGGTTCCCCAATTATAGGGTTGAGGGTTTAGGGTTTAGGGGTGCTGTATTAAGAGTAGAACTACATAGGATTTCCCAAGGGCACCAGGATTCTGACATTTAGCCATGCAGCGTTGCTTCGGGATTTACAGATGTCAATGTCCGTGGATTCAGGACCCATAGTCCTAGTCCATGTTCCGTACCAACCTTGACGGCTGTAACAATCCGTTGTACATCATGTCCTGAACCCGTCTGAAACTATGCGCGAATAACTACCAATAGTGACTAGTTCTCAGGGTTCCAACAGATTCACTAAGTGTGTGGCAGAACCCATTTCTAATGCCCCTATATCGGGGCACCAGGTGACTTCTTCGTACCATGTATGACGACACAAGAAGAGCCAGAACGTAGCCATGACTGTGTTAGGATGGTACTCTTCTCTTGTAGCTCCCATCTTAGCTTAGGTTCCAGCAGCGATTTCCTTAGGCCCTGAAACTTGGGTTTTTGAGGACATCCTGCGCAAGATTGCCGGGCTCTGAGGAACTCGAAGCCCGAACGGCGTCGAGCTGTAGTAGGAGTCGCCGGCATAGTAGCAGTAGCAGCAGCAGTAGCAGCAGCAGTAGCAGCAGCAGTAGCACTAGCACTAGCACTAGCACTAGCAGCATGTGCCGGCGCAGGAGGAGCAGGAGAAGAAACAGTAGTGGGAGTAGGTAGCAGCAGCAGGAGTACAAGTAGTAGTACAAGTAGTAGTAGTAGTAGTAGTAGTAGTAGTAGTAGTCGGAGTAGCGGTAGTAGTAGTCGTCGTCGTCGTCTCAGCACAGCAAGCTTTATTTGTTGTTCGGCAGTACGGATGATGCCTGGACGCCGCTGGCTTGAAACCACTGGAACAGACATGTTGGTTTTCTTGTTATCACCACCAGGTGCAGCCGTTACATTCCGTCGTATTGGATCTGTGCATATCTGAACATGCAAGTGTTGAGTTCCTGTTGAACGCCACCATGCGCAGCCGTAACTTTCCGTCATTTCGGTTCTGTGAACCGTGCATCTTAGAACATGCAAGTGTAAGACAGAACAGAGAGGACTGACAGGGCTTCAGGCTTACAACGTGCTGCACCAAATACCTGCTGAGCATGCCCTCCAGGAGCATTCCTCGTCTAGGATGTTTGCTTAGCTTTCGCCATTTCCCCGGAGACCATGGCAGCTGCCAGTGAAGCTGAGTCATCGTGCGACAGCAGCGATGAGGACTCCTTTCTGGACGACATGGCTTTTCGTGTGGCCAGCATGGAACCGGTATCCCCTGATCTCCTCCGGGCCACCCCGGCCTGGCAGGTGCTGCAATCCTTCGGCGCAGCATTGCGGTGGACCCCGACGGATCTCTACGAGCGCAGCTTTCCTGTGAAGTTGATCCAAACTTTCTGGAGCCACAGCTGGCATGGCAACAACTACATGAAGACGCTCTTGTTGCTCTTGCTTTACAATGGCCCTGCTGCAGCGATGGCTGCCACTATCACAGCTTTGCTAATGATGTGCTTGCAGATTGCTGGATTCTTGCCAGGTGTCCTGCGAGTGAGCACCACACCGCTGGATCGAGGTAGGGAGATGGTCCTTGGCCCGTGGTGCACGCTGAGCGCAGGGCTTGTTCTTGTAGTTGTTCTCCTGCTGTGGAAGTCCAGGTGCCTCGTCTTCTTCGACCAAATATGTATCGATCAGCAGAATCCACACCAAAAAAATCGTGGAATCATCGGCATTGGTGCGATTGTGAAGTACTCCCAGCGTTTTCTGCTTGTTTGGGACTGCACTTATGTTGGGCGCTTGTGGTGCCTGTTAGAGCTCGCAGCGTTCCTGAAAAGTCATGAACAGCCAGAGAAGAAAGTTATTATCCGGCTCTCAGCTATGGCTCCCTGCATTTTGGGAGTTGGGTTTGCCCTCTGGGCTTCAATGTTGCAGGTTTTGTTCATGGAGCGATCTGCTTTGGACACTCTGGTCCTTGTGCTGTCACGATGGGTCTTTTTATACATGGCGGCATCCTACATGCGTGATCATTTTCGTAATACGGAGCTTTTGCTCAAACAGCTTTCCGACTTTACAATCCGAGATGCCTGTTGTCATTGCTGCAACGACGGGGAGACTTGTTGTGCCGATGTTTGTGATCGTGCGATTATCGGACGATGCATTCAAAGCTGGCACGGGTCCGTCGAGGCCTTCGAGGTGACAATAAGGACTCGCGTCAGGCAGATGCTGTACCGCCAGTTGGGAGGATTGCTGTTTCCGTATGGTTGGCAAGTCCTTGGCGCTTTGCCTCTGTTCTGGAGCTTCGCGGATTTAAGTGCTGCGCGTGCCCGGGATGGACATTGGAAGGTGGCTGCACTTGTGTTTTTGGCCGGCCTGACCTGGTGTCTCTTTCTGTTCCTCAGTTAGCCAATAGGAGAACTTTACAAACTTTTTGGCCTTATATATTTGGTCTATCCCAAAAAGTTTGAACTTTTTTGGGCCTGGTTGTTGAAGAAGAGAGGTTCCCATTCGTCTTTCAAGCCACTTTACTCTTGGCAAATTTCTTCCGCCGAAAGCCGAGCCGAGTTTGGCTGGACAGACTGAAAACCGCGGCTTACTTAGCCAATGGGAGAACTTTAAACTTGTTGGCCTTGTTTGTTTAGTCTATATTAGAAAGTTCAAACTTTTTTGGACTCGGTTATTGACGAAGAGAGGCGGTGGTGGCCTTCGTGCTGACGGCGCTGTCTTTTGTTGGCCAGTGGACCTCCCGGCTTGTGGAGGATGCTTTTTCGTCCGCTCTTTGGATGATAGGTTCCTAGGTGGCACTTTGGGAAACTGTAAAGCTTCCCTAGAGTTCTTATGGAGTCATAGATACTTTTGAAGGGCCCCGAAACTACGGGTACAACCCAGGATCCATCATACTGGCCATGACATCATGGTTGGCGCTCCGGTATCAGGCCAGACAAACGGAAGGGATGGTGTCAACCAACGTTGTGGAGCACCTGGGAGGCGAGTCTGGCAAGCACTGGGAAGATGATTGTGTCGCTGAGCCTGAGATCGTGTCAGTGTGAGGCAGAATAATTTGACTTCGGGGTTCTTTTTGGGTTCATGAGCTTTTGGCCGCGAACTTAATTCACATGTTTCAATGTTGGTGCTGTTGGACCTCTTTCTACAGTCTTCTTGCAGTTAAGCGATGATTGGAATCCCTGCCTGCTAGCGAATGCTATACTACGATGACGCCAGTGGCAACATGGGAAAGACACATGACCGTGTTTACATGTAACTTTGTGTCATGGCGACACCAGCAGAGTGGCCATTGCCCAGAGTTTCTTCTGGGTATCCAGACATTCTAACATCCCTTAATTGCGGAATATACCGTAACTTCTAGTAGGATCGCTTGTAGGATGTGAGATATATTTCTCAATCAAGGGACTATGGAAGCTCTGTGTAGCAAGAACTCTACTGGCACTTTACTGACGATGGTGCGATGACCACAACATACCGCAACCTTGCTGACAACAGCAGTGCTAGAATAGTTTCGACCTAGAATCACGACATTGATACCACGAGAACTGGACAAGGTGCTACCGATGTTGGTATACGTACAGGTGTTACATGCAGCGAGTCTCTTGTCTTGCACAGGGCGGGGCGGCTCTCAAGTAGGAGGTAGAGCGCCTCGGGTGAAGCCAAAAGCACGCGGAGTGTTTTTTTTATGTTATAAGTAAGTATGAGACCCGGCTGGTAGGCGGCGGCTCCAGGGTTGAAGATGTCCTTTTGGTCCAGGTGGGCTTCAGGGTTTCGGTTGACGTGCTCCATCGAAGAGGTTTAGGGTTTAGGGTTTAGGCTCCATCAATGTCCAACAGCACTTTGCTTGATACGCAGGTGCCAAAAAGTTTCGTGATGTGTCACCCAGCCTCATCCACATAAATGTTGGCTTGTGAAGAAGCCAGCATGGTACCGGCTGCTGGCATTTAGTATTGCCATCGTCATAAGTGTTGTATTGCTCATGTTATTATATCACTTGAAGAATCCCATGATAATAAGCCCTCTCTATTAAACCCCAAATCGTGCATCCTCCACTCCTGGCCTTTCTGTCCTTCTGTCAGGAACCCTAGACCCTGGAATGGCTAGACCCTAAACCCTATAAACCCTAAACCCTAAAGGTTTAGGGTTTGGGGTTTAGGTTTGGGGAGCATCTCCCAGCAGTAGGCGCAACGATCACTGAAGCCTCGGGTGCCTCTGCTTTTCCTGGAGCTCCAGGGCCCTGAGCCCTTAAAGCCTAAGCCTAAGCGCTTGGCGCGGTTTAGGGTTTAGAGGTTTCGGGTTTAAACCCCAAGGGTCCAAAGGACCCAATATTCAGGTACTTAGGCTTCGGATAGTAGCCTAAACCCTGAACCCTAAACCCTAAACCCTAAACCTAGTAGTTATGCAGGTTACTATTTGGGAGAGTATATGATTGCTATTTACTGGGACCCTTAGGGCTAAGCCTAAGCGCTTATTGCGGTTTCGGGTTTAGGTCCAGGAATATTCAAGCCTGAACCCTGAAACCCCTAAACCCTAAACCCTGAACCCTGAAACCCCTAAGCCCTTGAAGAGAGGGGGCCCGCGCTTCTTCATGTGGGTTTCTCAGTAGTTGGTCTGTTTGGGTCCACATTCGGCTACCTCTTGATGTTCTGAAACTCCCAGAATGTCCTCCCCAAGATCCAAATGCATTTTAAGGCTTACGGCCTCACACCCCCTACCGCACATGAACCCCCTCACCCTAAACCCGAATCCTGCTCTCTGTTGGAAAGGCCATACTAAGCCATGAAGCAGCTGGTGGTTTTCGGATGGCGCGCGCGGATATCAGAAATCCACTCTAGAAGCCGGAACAGACCCTAAACCCTAAATCCTATAAACCCCTAAGCCCTACAGTGCCAATATGCTTCCCTCTAGGGCTCCGATATTACAAGAATGCTATGACATGCCAGAACAGCCCCTATAGCAGTAACACGCTTCCTGTGTGTTCTCTAGATTCTGCTTATGGGCGCTTGCGTACTTTGGCCTCTACAGTCGTGGCATGGAGAAGGGGTGATGTCATACTGTACAGGCCTGCAAGGCCTCACAGCCCGGCGGCTTCTTTAGAGTGTACCCATAGGCCCCAGAGTAGTTCCTTTGTGGGATTCCCTAATAGAATCCTAAACAAAAGCCACAAAAAGGAACTACTATGGGGCCCATGGGTAGGCTTTGGCCCGTAGGATCCTGCACTTTGCGGAGCAGCCTGAATTTGAACGGACTGTCCTACCTGGCGCCGACACATCCAACCATCAGAGCGTCAGAAAACCCCATTGGTGCGTTGCTCAGATGCCTGGGCTGCGTATTCATGTGGGTGAAGACCCTGCGACTGAGGAAAACTGAACTTTTGCCAGGGTTTTGGGATTCAGGGCCTCACCTAGGCTGGATAACTAGGTTCCCTAACATCCTTACGGCGTACAGCCCCCCGAAACCCAAGACCCTAAACCCTAAACCTTAAACCCTAAATTCAGCCATCTTGGTCGGTTGCAAGAGTCTGTCCGGGGGCACTTGAGCATGCAAGGGGACTCGTTGTTTAGGGTTTAGGGGTTTAGGGTTTAGGGTCCGAAGTGACTGTCGCTTTTGTTTTGTCAGGCCTGCTGTCAGCAATACGAGACAAGACTCCAGTATCCCACGGCTAAATTACTCCGTGTTGTCAGGAATATGTCTTACGCATGGAGAGGTTGGTTCAATTGGCGCAACCACGGTTTAGGGCTTTGGCAATAAGCTTGCCTGCAAAACTCTTTTGGTGTTTGTTGCAGTTGTTTAGCAGGAGCCCGGATATGGGCCGAAGAATATCGGAGCACCATCGTCCCTGATTAACTAGCCCCGATCCCAGATCCCGCTTCATTCATTTCAGTTTGCCAGATGACTTCTATAATTGCCCGGCTAGTAGTTTTGGAGGCTACTGTGTGAGAGAGTATATATGATGGTTATATATAATATAAAGAAACCATAATAAGGGACCCTAAAAAACTAGGTTCTTTAGGGTACAGGTAAACCCTAATTCCCCTAAACCCTAAACCCCAAACCTCTAAAAACCCTAAATCCCCGAAACCCCAAACCCCTAAAAACCTAAAACCCTAAACCCGAAACCCCTTAAAAACACTAAAAACCCTAAAAAAACCCTTAAACCCCTAAACCCTAAACCCCAAACCCCTAAAAGCCCTAAAACTAAACCCCAAACGCTAAAACCCTAAAGAAGGCCCTGTAAAACCCTATAAAATCCTATAAAGCCCTATAAAACCCTCTAAAACCCTTTAAAACCCAACAACACCCCGTAAAACCCGTAAAAAAAAGCCTTATAAAACCCTACTAAAACCCTTTAAAATCCTATAAAATCCTATAAAACCCACAGCTCCTTCGAACCCCCAAAAGGCGGAGGGCCGGCGATTTTGCCCTCGCGGAGCTTCCGAGAGCGACTCGGAGCTCGGCCAGGACCCAAAGAAACGACCCGAGGGGCTTAGAGGGTTTGGGGTTTGGG